CTTAACACAGACTCTGAGAGGAGGGTGTGTGTGTGTGTGTGTGTGTGTGTGTGTGTGTGGAGAGGAAATGCTACAAGGGTAGTAAACATTAAGTAGGTTACACCTATTGGTTTAATTGCTTTTCAACAGTTGCATTCATATTTTTATTATTAGCAACAAATAAATTACCTTATTCCTACTATTCATCACTCTCCTCCTTTAAATATTAATATTCCTCCATCACAATGATAATATAATGAAATCTTGCATCTCATTTTTCCACCATGGTCTTTACACTTCCAAAGTTGCGAGAGGGATGCAATTAGGGTAACAGTTGTGTTATTTACATATATTTTGTAATAAAATTCATTTACATTGTGTGTTATATACAATGTAACTGCGTTTTATTGATATAGTGTACTTAAGCCCATATCTCAATTCACTTCCTTACCCTAAGAACACAAGCCAGTTGAAAAGACTAAGAAGGTTTCTTTTCTTTTCTTTTTTAGCAAAAAGGTTACACTTCAAAAACCTTTTAAGTCATTATAGCAGTTAATTTTTTTCCAATTCATTTTGTCCCTAATGCGATTTTAAACAGTGCATGCAGTTTCATTCAAACATAGCAAGTCAAAAAAAAAATTTTTTTAGATTGGCACAAGGTTACATTTACTCAAGCATCAAATGAATTTTGACCACTTCACTACCAATGCATGAATTAAAGCAACAATCATGTTTTTCATATGAGGTGTGATTTTTGCAGATGTTATTCTTACAATTTTTGACAACAATATTCTTTGATAAAATTTCCATTGAAACTTTTTCAAAATTTAATTTCTATTTAACTTCTATTAAGCGCTGTTCAAAGTGTAAAAGGTCCCTGCCGAAAAGAAAAATTACCAGATTCAATTACACATAAAATGCCAGGCGCTTCCATTTTTGCAAGGAATATTGAGAATAAAATGATTGGATGCTACAATCGTATTTTGGAACATCATCCATGTTCCTCATTTTGCTCACTTCAAAATGACTGAGCATTTATTACAAATTTATGACATTCTAATCTATTTGAGGAAAGACAAACAAACTTCATCTACCACTATTGATGGTATTTCTTTTTCAATATTTCTATAAAAAAAAAAATAAATAAATAAATAAATAAAAATGTGGGAAAGGATATGTTCATTGATGTGTAATAGCTTAAATCCTCTTTTGTGATTGATGTAAAACAGAATTGTTCAGTATTACCCTCATTTGCTCTCTTTCTATAAAAAGTAACAAGAATCCGGAATAGGACATGCAAGAATATTTTGAGTTTTCTTCAAGAACATATAGCACTGTGACTATATAGTTCATAATCTGGAAGCTTAGATGTAAAACAGCTTATTAAATTTAACTAGCCAATGAGTACAAAAGAGCTTACTTTTGAAAATAGAAATTGATACACAGTATCATTATCTTTGTTGTTTTTGACACAATTCATCTGATCTCATCATCAGCTTTAATGTCTTGGCTAAAACAACGTTTTCCAAACTTTTAGGGGGGATGCAACTATCAATACAGAATTTTGGAGGGGTCTGATGATCATTGGGTGAAAACAGAATTTCAATCTGTCTTCATTTATCCAATAAATTTTTATTAATCAATCTCACAATTTCATATGGTGATTGATGAAAATGAAAGGCAGAACTTCATGTAAAACATATCACGTTTGTAAGACAGCACATCAGACATGCTAGCAATGGCAAAAGTGAGTAAGAAAGAATATTGCAACTGTGAGAGGCTCCAGTCACCTCAACCTATAAGTATTGAACATGAACAGGACAGAATATGTTAGAAGTTTACATACATTAATAGAATTGTTATTAGTAAAAACTATATTTTAGATTCCAAAATTTTGATGTAAATATATTTGTTTGTTTTTTTTTTATTTCAATATTTAATTTTTTTTATTATTTTGTTGTAAGCCATTTGAAGACTTCTGATTCTAAGACATTTGAAGACTATTAGTTTGAGAATCAACAGTCTGCACATTTTGGGGACTATTGATTTTGCTTTTTGTTGTTTTTAAGAACTTAAAAGATGAAAGAACAGATTGGCTGGAATGTAGTCTCAGAATCAAGTAAATTCGGATGACCTCCCAAAAAGTATTTTGATCAATATACAAAGTGATCAAAAACCATTGCTGCTATGGTAACTGAACTAAAGTATGCAGAGTGAAGCCGCTTGTCACAGGCTGACCTTGAACTGTCAGGCATACAAAGTTATAACTTTTCTGTTGTTTATAGCAGCACTTGGAAGGAAAGTGTGTAGAGAGTGGTCATCTCATCATAGAGGTCCCATCAATGACAATGGCAGAAAAAGCTGAGCAGACACTCTGCATCAAATTTTACTGAAAACTCAATGATATCTGTAGAGATGTAAGCAATGTTTCAGAAAGTGTCTGGAAGGGAGTGTATGAGCTGGACACAATTAGTTCAAATGTTTCCAAGATAACCAACAAAATGTCAACAGTGATGCATGTTCTGAGAGACCCGCAACCAGCAGAACTGATAAAAACATTTCAGCTGTGAGTAGAAATATTCAGAAAGAATCACTGTGCATGAATTGTTGGAGGATGTGAACATCAGTTACAGTTCATTCTAACTGAAGATTTTGGCATGAAAAATGTGTCTGTCAAGTTTGTGACAAAATGGCTTTCAGTTCACCAAAAAACAAGTTGGGTTCCAGCTGTATAGGATCTCTCTGTGTTGAGGAAAAGGTGAAAACCTTTTAAAAAACAGTCATAACAAGAATGATGGATGATGGATGATTGGGTCTATAAGCCTTGGTTTCAGAGTCATAGCCAATCTTTGCAGTGGAACACTCCAACCTCTCCAAAACCGAGGGAAATCATGAATAAATCAATGTGAAGATGTTGGTCATCAGAAAAAGTCAGAATTGTATGCACTATGACAATGCACCTTCCCCATTCATCACAGCATATGCAGCAGGTTTTAGCCATGTTAAACATTCTCCCAACATTCTCAACCACCATATTTCCCCAGATCTTGCCCATTGCAACTTTTTCCTCTTTTCAAAAATCAAATCCTACTCAAAAAGAACAAGATTTCAAGAGGTCTAGAAAATTCAAGAGAACAAGATGAGGCAGCTGCTCACTATTCCCCCCCCCCCAAAAAAAAAGAGGAGTTCCAGGAATACTTCCATCAATAGAAACAATGCTGGATAAAGTGTGTGGCTTTGGAAGGAAATTAAATGCAGGATTTATATGGGTTGTAGTGTTTTCTTTTGATAGTACCAATCTAGATAGTTTTTGATCAGACCTAGTGTACTTCATTGCAAAACAGCAGAAAAGAACTTGTATACCACATGGCAAAAATATTTATTTTATACACTTGATAAAATCAGTTTACAGTGTAATGATATAGCTTTATCATTACACTCTAAACCGATTGGCATGGTTGTGTTTATAAATCCAAAACTGATTATATTTTACATCATAAAAATGGAACACATTTGATATCTCTAGCTTAAGAAGCAAAATGTTTGCAAAAGTTAATTTGGTTACATCATCTTGAAAAAATGAATCAACAAAAGATAATGACCATGTGGACATGTGATAACAAAAGATAATGACCATGTGGACATGTGATAACAAAAGATAATGACCATGTGGACATGTGATAACAAAAGATAATGACCATGTGGACATGTGATAACAAAAGATAATGACCATGTGGACATGTGATAACAAAAGATAATGACCATGTGGACATGTGATAACAAAAGATAATGACCATGTGGACATGTGATAACAAAAGATAATGACCATGTGGACATGTGATAACAAAAGATAATGACCATGTGGACATATAACAAAAAAGATAATGACCATGTGGACATGTGATAACAAAAGATAATGACCATGTGGACATGTGATAACAAAAGATAATGACCATGTGGACATGTGATAAAAAAAGATAATGACCATGTGGACATGTGATAACAAAAGATAATGACCATGTGGACATGTGATAACAAAAGATAATGACCATGTGGACATGTGATAACAAAGATAATGACCATGTGGACATGTGATAACAAAAGATAAAACCATGTGGACATGTGATAACAAAAGATAATGACCATGTGGACAAAAGATAATAACAAAAGATAATGACCATGTGGACATGTGATAACAAAAGATAATGACCATGTGGACATGTGATAACAAAAGATAATGACCATGTGGACATGTGATAACAAAAGATAATGAATGATAACAAAAGATAATGACCATGTGGACATGTGATAACAAAAGATAATGACCATGTGGACATGTGATAACAAAAGATAATGACCATGTGGACATGTGAAAAGAACCATGTGGACATGTGATAACAAAAAGATAATGACCATGTGGACATGTGATAACAAAAGATAATGACCATGTGGACATGTGATAACTAAAGAAAAAGAAAGCACCTTTAAACATTGACCTTTCATTATTTTTATCAAATTATTATTGCTATTATTTTTTGTCTGTATTATAAAAAATTTTAAATTGGTGTGCCGATCCAACAAAGCCAATAATGTCCCAATTTATAAGTCAAAATTAACTGATGTGTAGGCCAAGTCAAGATTAATTTAGAGAAACAAAGTGATTGATTTGTGTTTAAGGCAGAAATTCCCATCAATCACAACCATGGAAATTCCAATCAACTGCAATTAATGCATTAAAAAACAAAGTGCCCATTACTTTTATTTATATATATATATATATATATATATATATATATATATATATATATATATATATATATATATATATATGGAAAGTCAATGTAAATGTTTGGATAGGTTAGTTAGTTAGTTTGGGAGAGAGTTAAAAAGAAAGAAATATTTGTTATATGAGGGTAATAAAAAGAAGTCAATCTTAAAAAAAAAAAAAATAAATAAATAAAAAATCCCAACCATTTCTTTAGGCAGGAGATGCCAGGGAAAATGAACAGCCAATATATTACCTTGCCATAATTGTTTCGGAATATATTCGATATGTATTTATATCCCGTCACTAACATGGCGAAAGGCAGCATCAGGAACGATAGCAGATCTTGATCCACCATGCGGCGCTAGATGAATGGGAAATGATAAAATTAAAAATCAGATTAGAATTTGAGTTTTTGGCAGCCTGACTAAGTTTGATATTTGTTTGGATCTTTTATTATCTTTAATTTGACTAGTTTAATTTTTTTTTTTATCTAGGGGAGAAGTGATCTTTTTATTAAAAACAGATGCATATTAAACATCTGAGGCTGAAAGTTTTTTCAAACAATTGTTTCTGTAGGAGAAAAATTAGAAAAAAAAAATTAAAAAAATAAGAAAAAAGAAAGGAAATTTATAATAAATACAAAAATGAAAAAATGCAAAATTTCTACTGATATTAAAATCCAAATTAAGAAGAACTTAAAATCAAACTGATAAGAAAAAAAAGAAAACTACAAAAGATAAAAAGACTAAAAATTAAAAAGAATAAAGTGATCACAGAAATAATTAAAAATGATGGAAATATAAAATATAAAATATGTTAGAAAAAAAAAAAAAAAAAAAAGTAAAAACCCTGTGGAATATAATGACTAAATATAAAATAGGGGAGAAAAAAAAAAAAAAAAAAAAAAAAAAAGAGTAGTAAAGGGTGAAGGCAACAAAACAAAAACAAAGAAAACAAAACAAAAACAAAACAAAAAACCAAAGAAAACAAAAAATAAAACAAAAAATGTGAACAATAAAAACAGAAAATAGAAAATGCAATGAAGGCTTAAAAGAAAAAAGAAAAAAGAAAAAAAAAAGAAAAAAAAAAAAAAGGTACTTCTTGTTTATCGGAGGAGTGGGAAAAGAGGAGAACTCATTGAAGCTTTACCTTTCCATAATTGTTTCTGTATTTATAAACTGTATATGCTGCTCCAAGAACTAAAAGAGCCAGTGGTAAAGACAGGAAGGAACTTTGATTAAAGTCTTGATCAACCAGTCTCTGAGAAAAAAAGGAAAAAAAATCACAACAAAAAACACACAGATGAATTAAGAATTACAAGGAAAAACATAAAATATAAGAACAAAACATTAAATAGAAAAGAGGAAAATAAAAAGGAGACGTATTTTCTCTTGTATGGGAAGAAGTAAACTCTTATTCAAATTATGAATGACTTTTGCAGAACAAACTGGAATTGGATGAAGGGGAGAAGGAGATTAAACATTGTCTGCATTGTTCAAAAAAATAAAATAAAAAAAAAAAATAGCAGAGGCGAGGGGGGGGGGGCGGGCAGACATGGGGACAGCATGAAAGTAGTGGAAACAGGAAATGGACATTAAGGACACAAAAAAAAAAATTCTCCCACAGATTTATCTTAAAAATATGTTTTGTCTAGCTATAGAAAGCTTAACAAAAATATATGTGAAGAAGGGTATAACTGTGAGGGCTGTGAGCAAATAACAGAAACAACAATAAAACCAATTCATGTATTCCCCACCCCACCACAAAAAACTCAACACTGAAAAGCATATGTATTTAACACCATTTTCTTGACTGCATAAATTTTTACCTAAAAACAGATATATATATATATATATATATATATATATATATATGCACAATATGTGTGTAAGCAGAGGATATAGATTTAAACAAAAGTGGGGAAATGAGCAAGTGGAAAAGGTTTTTATTGACAACACATTTGACCTTCATTAGGTAGGCATCTTCAGGTCAGAAGGAAAGAAAAATCTGTTTTTTTTATATATTAAAAGGCCAAGAAACTCAATTCAGAATTGAGTTTTCCTGTCCTTTTATCTACATGAAAATTGTGCAAATACTCACAAAAAGCTATATATATATATATATATATATATATATATATATATATATATATATATGACTTTAAATTGCACAAATGTGATGAAATATATTTATCTTTTATATACTGTTCTGTATATAGTTTTTATATTTTACATTGAGGACTGTGTCTTTGTAGTGTCTTCTTTTATAAAAATATATATATATATATATATATATATATATATATATATATATATATATATATATATATATATATATTTTCTAAAGAATTATTTTTATTTTTTAATTTTTATTTTTAAACTGACATTTTTATGACTTCAAACGTTAGTTTTTAGTAGATACCCAGGTTTGAAATAAATGCACCGTTTTGTTTTTTTTTTTCATTTTTAAACAGTGTACATTACATCATTTGTTTGTTCATGTGAGAAAACTTAAAACTCACCACTGGGACAGCAAATTTTTTTCATTTAGTTTTACTGGATATGTGAGCCAACAGATATAATAATACACACTGTTTAAAAATTAAATAAAAAAAAAAAAAAAAAATGGTATGTCTATTTCAAACATGGCTGTCCACTAAAAATAACATTCGAAGCTTTATATATATATATATATATATAAGTGCGTGTGCATGTGCACACACAAATAAAATGTTTAATTTTATAATCTTTTGCCCAAATGTATTTGTTTTGTCATTTTACTTAGTTTATTGAATTAAATAGTTTTATTGTAATATATAATTATGTTTTTATAGCATCAAATATATTATTTACCTCAAAACATGAAAATTAACCTTTTGTCTTCAAAATGGGTCAAGAATCCCATCATTTATGTCTATCTCTTACATTGCACAATAAGTCGTCAGTAAATGACAATTATATTAATTCAATGTTTGGAGAGAGTGTTACAGTTTCTGCTTTGGATATTTTATTTTCTATGAATCTATTTACCCCCTCTGCTCTTTTTATATTTAAAAAAGGAATATTAATTGGAATTAGTCTATTTGTGTGGATTGTTTTGAAAAATATCAATAATGTTACTAAGAAGCACTTGAAGAAGGATAGAAGATACAATGGCCAAAAATTGCGACTATAGCAACAAACACGACACAGTTTGAATAAATCAATGTATAATAATAATAATTCCTCATCCAAAAAAATTAATCTGTGAAGTCTAATGAGCATTAATGATTTTGTTAATACTGAAGACACACAATCTAGATTACTGATTTGAAAAGTTATTAGAAAAATAGAAGAAATAAATTTTCTCTTCCCAACAATTTTACTTACCTTTGGTTCAAATTTAAAAGTGACATGTTTGTAAGCTGTGTTGGCCACAAAACTATATTCAGGCAAGATGTAGTCATACTTTGAATACGAGAGGGAACTTTCCAATCGAAGGTTGAACTCCTAAAAGCAAATAAGTGGTGTAACGTTAATAGACATTAGATATTTTGACATCAGGGATGTTAATTATAAAACAAAGCAGATACCAAGATAATTTACATTAGTCGGACTATTGTCCTCATCTTTGTCGCCATATTTGTCACAACGTTTCGGCCGTTGTACGACAAAGATGAGGACAATAGTCCGACTAATGTAAATACTGTACATAATACCTCATCTCAGAAATATAGACAAACACCAAGATAATTATGTCAATTTAATTAGCTTCTTGTACATTCAACAAAGTAAAATTAATTATAAAAAAAAAAAAAAAAAAAAAAAACAAACAAAACAAAAGACTTGTTCTTTTGACTATCAACAAAATGCCTTGCAAATATTATTATGGGATTAGATGTTACATTGAGGAGTCAATTTGTGAGGTTTGTACTTAGTAACAATTTAACAAACTTATCACTCCTTTTAATCAAAATCCTTTAAAAAGGACTAGACAATTTCATAGTGTCAATATCTTTGTTGCCTGCATTCAAAAGCTCTCTATCAAAAGGTTTGAGACAAAAGAACCTACATTTTTACTTACAAGTTTGCTACTTTTGCTACTTATTTTATTTATATAAGTCACAAACACAAATCCATAAGAAAACACAACTGAATGAAAATGCTAGAGTATTAACCAATGGGGGGGTCATTAAAAACAAATTTGTGCGTCAAGAAGGAGTTCAATCAGAAATCTGTGTTCAAGAAGTTCTAAACTCACTAAGCTCAAAACTCATTCTCCCGATGTGAATCAAAGCAACAGTTTTTATTCACAATGCAATTTTTCTGACTGACCATGTTAGTCAGGGAGGAAAGAACATTAGCATTAGTTGATATGATACATAAAGTGGCAGGTTTTTTGCTAATAATTTTCTTTAATTTTTGTTTTGGCAGACCCCAAACAGAACATGAACTCTTTTTCAAGGTAGGTGATTTTCTCTTTCGTTATAGAAAATTACTCTTACTGCTCCAACGTTAGCTTTTGACATTTCTGTTTGAGTGTATAAATGTTTGGCAGTTGTGTGACATCAGTAAAGTATAATTGGATAAGTCATGTATTATAAAAGATATCTAAGCAAATTCAAATTGAAAATAAAGACTTACTTGGTCATCAGTTGGTAGAGATGGCAAATAAAAAAAACTTGTGGTTCCTAGTGAAATGCTGTGAGTTGGAGAATCTGGACTGTCTTCTTTATACAGAACAACCTGAAGAGAGAAGCACAGAGGAAAATAATACAGAAATGTTTGGAACAAATGGAAAAATTTGAGAAAAATACTATTGTTTTGAGGAAATTGGAATCTTATGTAAAAATTTATTCAATCACTCACTTTGCAAACAATGCGTAGATATGTATTTTTCTATGCCCATATTTTAATTATGTATGTAATGAAAATCATTTCTATTTTCCTGTTATATAAAAAAAAAGTCAGACACCAACAAAACAAATACTAAGATCAAAACAATTTTTCTTTTTACAGATTGAATAAAATCAAACAAAATACTAAAAGTAGATTGAATAGTCAAAAGAAAAAGAAACACTTTTGTATTTCTGTTTGAATAAAAACAATAGCTATTTGCATTTCCTAAGATTTTCAATATGTTATTGTGTTGACACACACACAAATCAATAGTAAGGCAAAATTTCTCAAAGTGGAATTATCAGTTTAAAAATTATTAAGCAAAAAAAAAAAAAAAAAAAAGTCAATACATTTAATCTATAACTATATTTCTTAGGCTTTGTTGAAAATAATTCCATAAGATCCAAAGGAAATAAATTCAATGAAATTTTAATAAGTTTTGTAATTGATATAAAAAAGAATTAATGATGACTAATTTGGGCTTTAAATATAAAAACTTTGCATTGAAATTCTCAGAGTTATTCTAGTTATTCATAGGTGAAAATAGATGTTATTAGTGACATTCTGTTACTCCTTAATAAAAATATTAACTCGGTTGGAGGTAACAGATTTTCTGCACTGGTGAGTAAATTTCAGATATGTGAATAAACATACATTTTCAAATCTTAGATAATGCCAATAATATGCAAAGGGTTACTGGAAGTGAAAGAATACTTGAGAAGGAACCAGAAACAAGGGATAAACCTGTTCAAAAAGCCAGGGAGGAGTGTGAACTGGATGACAAGTAAACCCATGTTGAAGTCTTGAACAAAAGACTAAAGAAAAGAATAATGAAAGAATTACCCAATGAAAAATCTAACTCAAAAACCAGAGTCAAGACAAAAAATACCACAATGAAAAAAATACTTATTAACATTTCCTCTTTACTGAAATCAAGAGAATTAAAAATGTCTTTTTGGAGAAAGAACTGGTCAAATGAAAGTCTATATTAAAGATTTTTTTTTTTTTACCTTTAGAGTAGGAAGAATATCAGGAGGTGTTATCACATTTCCACTGACATCCATCTGGTTCATCCGACGGAAAGCAATGATATTCACATTTGTCAAGTCAGTATTTTCCACCTGCTCCCCAAAAAGAAAGAAAAAGAAAAAAAAAAAAAGAGAAGAATTTTTTGGACTCATTTTGACAACTTAAAAATAAACAATGTACTTCATCATAAATGAAAAAGAAAAAAATTATTATAGAAAAAAAAAAAAAAAATCTACCTTTGAAAATGTCTTTTCTTACAAGTGCGTCAAGATATATTCATGCAAATTTAATCTTAATGTCATTCCTCCAAACACCTTTAAGTACACATTACAAAACAGCCGAAATTAACAATTCCAACATGGAACTTCCAACATGAAAGATTAGACGGATGACCCTTGTTATTTGTCACAATTTTATCCCTAATTATTTGAGAGTTCCCCCATGATATGATGATGGTTAAAGAGTAGAAAGTGACGGCGGAGGGGTACTATCAAATCATTCTCTTAGCAAGGTGAATCTTGGCAGTTAAGGTGCTAAAACAAAAATGACAACTAGGCTATTACAAGTTGGATTGGGGCACCTCGAGGTAGTGTAATGGTTAGCAAGTTTGTCTCGCTAGAACAATTACGACCGAGTAGTGAGTCCGATCCTCACTGGGTGTCCCATACATTCGGCCTTGTGCCACATCTGAGCTACGCTTGGAAAAATCACTATTACAAGTTGGATTTATAAGACAAATGTTTTAAATCTTTAATTTATTCTAATGATTATATATTTAGCACCGATAATGATTATAATGATTATATATTTAGCAGCAATGCAGAAAATTTTGATAGAATTTGTGGGTGGCAAATAATAATAATAATAATAATAATAATAATAATCACTGTAGTCTGAAAGCTTCAACTCTGTTTAAATTTGGTATACAGAGGTAAAAAGGTTTTAGATTTTCTCATCAATACCCACAGTACTTTTTTTTGGCAATCTGTTTCAGTATTCAATCTGTTTGTGTATTTGCAAATGAGGGGAAAAAGGAATTGGTAGTGGTCAAGATCAAACATTGACAAAATAAGGTGATTATATAATGCATTAGGAATTATTTTATTACAGAAGTTTATTGCAAACAAAGAAAATGGGATAGTCAGGTTAGGAAATAATGCAAATATTAGTGTCAAAGTATAGCTGTTACATATAATAGTTGTACTGTTTAATTCAAAACTAGAATCTTAGATTTCACTGCTTATATAAACTTTCAATATTTCACAATACAAAAAAAAAAAGCAAAGGAGGATTGTAAATAGAAACATTATCTCTTCGATAAACTAACCATATTGTCTTTCTTTCTAGGTATTCAATTACAAGGACATGTTGAAAAGTTGTCCACCCAACCAACTTTTCAATATGTGATCATCATGAAAGCAAAAGAAGCATTTCTTTTTAATCTCTTCTTTCATTGTACCGAGAACATTTCAACTTTTCCTTGCAATAGTAATTATATATTATTTGTTTCAAGCAGATTTATTTTGAAAGCTGAACTCGACTGCTTTCTATTGTGAAGGAGTGCAAACAATTATTGACATAGAAAATGAAATTGGTTAACCAAATTTCTGGCTTAGGCTAATGTTTGCTGTGCACTAAAGCAATTAAAAAGGGCACGAATCTACCTTACCCTGCACACTGTCCTAGCACTGGTATTTCACAATAGTTAATAGATAAGAGAGAGAGAGAGAGTAGAAGATGTTTAGGCCAAATACATTCCTTGGTTTGAAATAGTTATAAGTTCTTCACAAACCAGGACATGTTGACCCGTACATTATTTTATCCAAGAGCAAATTGTAATGTGACAAACTCTTCATAGTACCTGTTTTTTTTTTTTTGCAGTGTCTTAATTTTTTTTCACTCTAATCAATTCTCCACAAGCAACTAAGATGTAAGGAGCTACTGGGATGGATAAACCTCTACTCCTGTTCAAGTAGAGAGAGGAATAAATTTTGATGATTGACAAAGTTTAATGCTGCTTATTGACATCAGCTTTCTAGATTGCACATAAATCTGTAAATGTCTTTTTGCTTACCTTCAACAAACGGAATTTTGGAGCTGACCTTTCCAGGTGACTGTTCTCTACCTTTTTAAGTTGAATCTGATAGGTGACAGAAGGCTGAAAAATACAAGAATGGTTTCAATACATATATTTTGGGGGTCAAGGTAATAAAGCCACTAAAGTGCAAGGGTTTACCGAGTGTGAGAAAATGAGAAAAAATAAATATTAAGGAGAAAGGACAATAAAAGAACAGGAATTAAGACAAGATAATGATTGACACTGTATTTAAATTTTTGATGATCAAAATTGACTGGAAAGCAAAAAGCTGGAAGAGATTTACAAGCATGAAATGCAAAATAAGAAACTGTTAGCCTAGAACTTATGGTTTATATCTAGCAGCCATTTCAACTGTAAAATGATGAAGCCTTGCTGCCAATCTAGTACTGCACTTGAATTCATAAAGTCAAGGTACCATAGAAGAAAGTTCATCTGAACAATTACCATGAAAATATTTATAGAAAAGGCACAGGCAAGCTATGTTTTGGCAATGAGAAAGTTACTGAAGCTGAGATGCCAGGTCAGGATCAATAACATTGTTGATTCTTCTTTGTATTTTATCTAGTATCTCTAAATACATAGCAGAATCACCAGAGCAAATGTGGCAGCAATATTCAAAGCACGGATGAATGGTAGACTTATAAATGTGTAAGAAATTGTCTAGCATGATACAGTGAACTAACTTTCTTAGCAGAAAACCTAGGAATTGATTCATTATAAACTTTCCACTTCAGGTCAGCAGAAGATGCTAGCCTGAGAAGGTGCAATAAGTCACTCTCCTGGGGATTAGCATCAGCCATGCTGATGGAAGGCAAAAGTTGGTCAATAGTTACTGGATTTATTTTTTGTTAAAGGACAAAGACAATGAAACTTACACAGTATCATTCTCACTCCCGTGATAAGACTATATGATCAAGATGACTAGTGACAGGACAAAATGCAAGAAAAGTGTGATTTATGTCTTTCTCAAAAATATTAAAAATAACAGCTGCTGAATTTGAACTGGCTTAATTTTTCAATGTGTTAATGGAAGTATCAGTACTTCTGCTAATATGATATAGAGCAAACAAGACATTTATCAGTTTTCATTCAGTACAGAAGAGAGAATGCAATCATGCAAATAACTTCTTATTTTTATAAAAATGTGAAAGACTATAGTCATCCAAAGTTCAAAAGGTAAAATGTTATTGTTATTCAATTATGTAAAATAACATCTGTTTCAACCAGTAACTCTCCAGCCTTCCTCAGGTATACATGGTTTCATCCTGTAATTTTGACCATGTCCACCCCACCAAACTAATTTATAAAAATAAAACAACCAATTTTTGCAATACTCAAATATGGTTGATAAATGTTTAAAATAGTTTTTTTTTTTTTCCTTGGTCAACACAAGATTCAATAAGCAGTTTAATAACTTTATTTTCTCAAATATTGTGTGTTACTCAAAGGTTTAGAGAATTTAAACATACTGATAAATCTGTTCAATTGTCAAGTTCCACATGTTTCAGACATTTCATATCACACTATTAAGTGTAGAGTGATTAGGCAAGTATTACAAGAGTTAACCACAAAGACACTAAGATCATAGCTTAGAATTGATGATTGTTTTTTAATAACATAGTTTTCATATAGAACATGAAAGACTACAAAAAATATTTAAAAAAAAAAAAAAAAAAAAAAAAAAAAAAAAATGTCTTGAGCAATGCAAATATCACATCACTACATACATATTAAAAAAAATCCAAAACACATAAAAAATAAAAATTTTTTAAACGTTTTTAAAGTTTAAAATTCCAATCATCTCTTGTTCATGTGTAGTCGCATCAACATAAACAAACCTAGTTTGATGAAGTCCTAAAGGACAAAACACGTCACATGAAAATTTTTTCCATTATGTCATAGATCTTTCCTTCAAAACAGTTTTTGATATATAAAAATTTATATATCATTATCTCATACATAAAAGTGGATAAATAAGTCCATAGCTTAATATGTAGTCATTAAGTTAATTTTGATCTGAAATTTTCATTTTATAATACTTGATCCAAGTGATTAATATTCATGACTGAATTAATCTATTGATGGCAGCAGTAACAACTCAGTTGCCATTTTCTAAATGCAATGGTAACTTTTCAGGGCAACAAGTAAAATATTTTGAATTTTTCTTATTTGAATATAAATTAAAAATGCATAAGGATATTTATAGAAAGATCCATGTTTACATAGTAGATGATCTTCAAAATAATTTTAGCACTTTGAATGGTTTCAGAAATCTCTGACATGTTATCAGGTTTGATTTGTTTTTATAAACAACATTCCAATAAAAGTAAAAAATAAAATAAATTAAAAAATATTTCCTTCCACTCAACTTGGTGTCTTTCTTTGTTATCCAACGAATCATTACTTTTTACCGGGTTAGTAAATCTTCTTTACCGTCAGATGATAAATCTCAAAAATATGTAACATTTTCAAGACAAATTCAAGATTTTTCTCAAGTTTCAAAATTTGCAGTGTTCGAAAAAGGTGTAAAATTTAAGCAGTGAAAAATAGATAAAAATTCCCAAATCTTCAAGGTTCATTTTTTTTTTTTTTAAAACTTTAGGAAAAAAGAATTTAGGGGAGGTAACTCAAATTTACATCTGCCTGATGTTTGCAAAAATTAGCAAATATGAGAAACACCAGAGATACAAGTCTAAAAAAAAAAAAAAAAAAAAAAATGTGTGTGTATTTAGTAAAATATGGAAGCACTGGTATAATGTTTATCAGCACCAAAAACAAAATTGGCCAACAAAGTTCAGATTTTGGTGGAGATTGCTGATGTTGCCACCATGTTTATGTTCCTTGAAAAGAAATGAATCCACATCACTTGATATTTGAAATTGTCACATCTTGACAAAAAGCCATGCAAGAATGGTCAATAATACATGTTAACAAGACTTGAAGAAGAAGTCTGTCTTAAGATGTCATAAAAGACAATAGTTCAGTATGGCATCCCAATGACCTCTCAATTATAAGACATGAAAATTGTTCATTCCATTATTATTACTATTAATTCCACTTGTTCCTTAGTTAGCATCTATGTTGTCTTGACATAGATAAACAATGGGCCATTCCTGTTTGATTGCAAAGAGACTGATGAAAAAATATCGAAAGGCATGGTTTGTTTTTTTTTGGGGGGAAAGGAAAGGAAAAAAGAAATGATAGAGCAGGTGATAATGCTCATGTATTTAACATCTGTGTCAATGAAAAGGAAAACTTTGTCAATTTTTAATCTTTTCATTTGTACCCTCTTTCTTCTTCAATATAATGATCTGCATTTGTATAATAATTATTATTGTGATTTTCCGTTACAGGTTTTAAAGCTCAAATATTTAATGAGGCAATAGGGAAAATTTTCAGATAATTTATAGATGTGGAACTTGCAAGGAACATATTCAATCATTAAATTGAAAATTAAAATTTTCATGGGTATTTCTAGGTATTATTACTATAAAATTAGTAATTAAAATTTAAATCATAATTTCTCCTTAGAAATTAGTTCAAATCAAGTTAAACGATATTTAACATGTTAACCGGCAGAGAACAAAAAATGAAAAAATAATCTGACTTCAAAAGCAAACTTTATAATAACCAACTTAGGCAATAGGAAATTTTTAGATGATTTATGGCCTCAACTGAAGTCTTAAAATTGTTTGCACATTAAAAGTATCACTGAAAATAAACTTGTTCTTGGCACACACAAATGAAAATACCAAACACAAGATAACTTGTGGTTGGTACTTTTGATTATGATGCTGATTACAAGTTATCTTGTGGTTGGCAATCAATACGTTAATAAAAGTCATTTTTAAAAAAAGACTTGGAGAATAAACTTGGAAGAATTGGTTTCCAAAAACAATGGTAAACAGTCTTACCTGTAGCCCTCTGATTCTATAAGTGCCATCCTGTTCTGTTTTGCTCTCTTCCTGATATTTGACATCACCAGATACACTGATCGCTTCTACCACAACGCCAGGTTCAGGTTCTCCATTTAACGAACTCACTCGACCATAACAGCTGGATATTTAAGAATAAAAAGTTAAAGAAATTTATTATTTCTTTGAAATAACAGGATTTAAATTTTGCAAAGATCTATACATTACAAAATTTCTCCTCTTCATCAGTTCAAGTTTTGAGAAACAGAAACTGAATCCTAAAAACTAAACATTGAAGAAAAAAAAAAAAAGAAAAAACGAAAAGACAGAAAAACTAAGTTTTTGGATTCTTTTACTACCAATTAAAACAATTCTTAGACTTCTGATACTCTCTTTTTGTTAAACCTGATAAAATTTTCGAGAGTGTCTCAGGCAAAACCTGTGACTGAAACTATAAAATGGAGGAAGTGGAGCAGGTGGCAGTATTATCATCATTATATTCATTATATGTGATATAATATGATAATGATTATCGTCATCATAATCAATATAAAAAATAAAAAGAGAGAAATTATGACTCTAAAGCAATGATTCCCAATGTGGGGTGCATGGTAATATTTTGGTGGGGCATGTATAGGATGTGCACCCTTCAGCTTACTATACAAACAGAATAAGTTATTAACAGTGAATTGTTTTCTAGTGAGCTCAAATTTCATTTTGCATTATTATTTCATGATTAAAATGATCAAAATTATATTACAGAATAACATTTCATTCAAATATTTTATATTTCTGTCTTTCAGTTCTCTATTATACGTTTTTGAAATTATATATATTTAATTGTCTTTCGTTTTGTTTGTTTTTTAATTTTTCTTTCATGGATGCCATAGTCTTCTTTAGAGACTGAGTTAGTGGTCTTTTAAGCGTCCTTCATGTGAATTGCCATAAGATTTTGAATATGTAAGAATTAAACATTAGAGGGGAGGCACCAGAATTTTAGAAATACCAAAGTCGGGTATGGCTCAAAATTGGTTGGGAACCACTGCTCTAAATGTTTTTGCTCAAAGTTCTTTAAGGATTATCAAATATAAAGCTATTACTTATTGAAGGAGATTGGAAAACAAGAACAGCTAACATGTGACTATCAAAACAATAAAGATTATAATTATAGTTCAAATAATTTATACTTCAATAGAAAAAAGTTCATTATATATACTGGAGTAAACAAAGTTTTAAAGGCTAAATTTTCAGGCCAACATTTAGAGATGGACTTTCATATGGACAATGGTTTCCTTAGGCTGCCATCTGTTTGAATTGAAAAGACTAGGTGAGGTGCCAACATAAAAAAAAAGAAACATCAGTTATCATAGGTAAACAATGGAGATATGTTGGAATTACTCATGAAAATAAAGAAAGCTTTTCAATGCTTTCAGCAAATGAAGCTCAATAATTTACAAAAGCCTAATACACAAAGATCTTTCAATATCTGTCTATATATCTGAGATGAGAGATTATGATGTGAGTATGGCAATGAAGATAACAGTATGAATAATGTAAATAATCAGAAAGATTTTTTAGTAATCAATCCAGAAATTATTAGTTTGGTATGGTTTGTTTTGTGACATATGGGTTATTTAATGCCAACAAGATTTATTGCTGGTAATATTTTTTTTTCAAAAAATGTATTGCTGGCATTTTTACACTTTCATGTGTTTTGAACTTTTTGCCCATAGCTGGAACCCCAACAGGTGCTACTACACAGAGTCAGGGTGGACCTAAGAACAACAGCAATTAAGAGGTGGTTCTACACTCCTCAAAACTGGCTGTTGAAAGTAGTTTATCATCATACCCCCCCCCCCCCGAGGGGAAGGTTTGGAATCTTACCCCCTGCAGTGGTGCAGTCGGCATATTCTGAAGCCCCCAGCTGACAAAGTGGAGAATTTGTTAGTATCCACCAGGCCATCATATTTGACATAAGAGTGGCCATAACAACTAAGAAATTACTAAATAAAAGCCCTGCTATATCTGAACACTTTATATAAATGACATTAGTCTGATACCATCGGAAGCTACCGCATCTACAGTTTTGCTACCTTCATTTGTTGTTCTAAAACAAAACAAAAACATTCACTTTATTTTTTTAAAAATCATTTCAACCCAAGCAAGGCAATACGACCACTATGATTCAAGGGGTTACTAGAGTGTGAAAGAATATGAGAACGAGAAAAACATCATTGAACAATAAGAGAACAGAAATTAAGAAGGCAGAAGATAATGATTGAAATTGC